CTTAGCAATATATGAATAGGAAACCTTACAGACGAAAGAAATTCTTCTATTTGTTGCTTCAAACTTAAAAGAGTATTTTAAATTATCAAAAGCAAAAAAGAAATTAAATTTTGAAATATTCTAATGATTAAATTAAATAAAATTTGTAAATAAAACAGATAATTATGATAGTACGTACCATATAATATGTTTAATATAAAATATTCTTTTAATTAAAAAATATTGTTTTACGAAGAAAAAGACATTGTTGAGAGATTTAAATGTTTCAACAGATAATTATTTTAGAACACTTAACATAGGTGGACGTAATACAAAAAAACTATTTATTACATATTATATAGTAGAAACATATTTTCAGTATTATTAGTAAACTAATTATAATTTATTATATTATTATTTATTTTTAATTGTATTATTTTATATTCTTTACATTCAATATATCAACAAATGAATTTCCATTTGTACTGTATCTCTCTCTCTCTCTCTCTCTCTATCTCTATCTCTATCTCTCTCTGTCTCTCTGTCTATATATATATAAATATATATATATATATATATATTTATAATATTTATAATATTTAGAATAATCATCAATATCGTTTTTTAAGAAATTGCATATTTAAATTTTCTTTACTTTATGTTATGAAATTCTATATCATATAAAATATAATGAATATTGAATATATGTATGAAGTCATTATATGCATTATATTTAAATAATTTTATATAATATCATGATATACCATCATCATTTATTAATTTAATTAAATTTTAGTAGATTTTAAAATAAATTTTAATAAAGTAATACAATATGATTTTTCTTGGCAAATAATTTTATTTTACATATATTTCAAATTAATTGATATTATATGCAAATACGTAACATAATTAACATTCTTATATATTGCCAAATGTTGATTAATTCATAGGAAGGGGAAAGAAAGGAAAGAAGAAAAAAGGCCACGCAAATATGTTTATGATACTTGGAGGCATCACCAAAGCAGCCATACTTTATTTTATGATTCACGGGGTTGCATTGTTAGCTACTAAAGCGTTAGTAATGGCAAAAGCAGCATTATTAATTGCCACTGCATTAGCTTTAAAAAAATCACTTGGTAAGAGTGGAAATCAAATAGATTTTACTTTACTTAATAATTACTTTTATCAAGTATATGTGATTTTTTTTTTTTTTTTTTTTTTTTTTTAAATAAATTTAATTTTATTCAATTTCATTTCAAATTAACTTTTCCTTTAATATTACGGTAAATGATCTATTATATATATGGTAAATTAACTATCGACAAAAATATATTATTATTAAAATATAAATATTAATTATATGTACGAATGAGTTTTCAAATTACTTATATAATAATTTGATTTTTAGAATAATAGTACAATAATTTACATTCTCATATTTACAAATAAGATTTTGTTTTTTTATTACTTATGGGAGAATACTATTGTAAATTTATTATTTTAGTACATTCCTAATATATTATATAACAATAAATTAAAAAAAAAATTACTTTGAATAGAGATATATAAATAACAAACCATAAAATATCATGTTTTATTATTTACAAATACAGAATCTGTTTGGTTGTGACTGACACTAACTTTTTTTATATACTAAATATTGTACTCGGAAGCATTCAAAATAATCTTGATAATAATAATATTTATCTAAATAATACAAAATCATTAAAAATAATATTATAACAAAAAATAAAATAAACTAAATTTATAAAACGGTAATAATATCGGAAAAAGTTGCAAGAGGAACATTATACTTAAAAAGCTGTGTCGTTTGATTTCTACATCAATTATTGATAAAAAGCTAATGTACATTTCCAAAAGATTAAAACACACACAAACACACACACACACACACACACACACACACACACACACATATATGTATTTAATATTTTCTCCCTTATTAAGTAATTATTGAAACTAAAATAATAGTCGTTAAAATTGGCTTGAAAATCAAATAAAAGATAGAATTATTGCATCATAGATAATTAAAGTAAGGAAATTAATGAAATTTTTATAGATAATAAAACATCGTTCGAAATAGTCAAGCATCCGCATTACAGCCACGTACAAACGCACAGCTCGAGCGTCGATTACGATCACAGTAGCGGAAACAGCGGCAGTGGCTATGATTTCGGAAGCCGCAGAAAATGAAGAACGCGCTACGAAGAGACAGATTACCTGATTTATTATAATTTCCGTTACCACATCGGTTATCTCAAATTTACTATAGCATTATGAATTTGAGGTGCATATTTATATAATGAAATAAAATGGACATTGGTAAGAAACGCATTTTATTAGCGTTATTATTAATTTGCATAATATCGTGTTGCGACGTAAAAGAACAATTTGCGTTTATGTATCAGAACTTTGATTAAATGTAGTCGATAGAGCGTAGTTGCTAAAAAATTAGAAAATTCATATACTAATTTCTCATTGATTATATAAAATTTCATTTATAAGTATTCGTAGTTTTAGTCATATATTTGAGATAAAATTACAATAAACATTGATATGCGAATGCGCTTCAGAATATATAATTATATAAAGTCGTCAGTTATTCATCATTCAATTATGATTAATAATAATATTCAAATAAAATATATCGTTAAAAGGAATTTTTATTTTATACACTGTAGTAAGTAATAATTATTCCACGAAAACGGCGATTGTAAGTTTGACCTGCGATAAGTATTTCAGATGAATAAATAAAATATTTATATAGCAAATACAAAGTGATAGTACTACCAAAAATTAAATTATTTATAAATGAGCTATACAATATATATCTATTATATTATTGATAAATAATTTTCAAACGGTAATAGTTGTGTTTTCATTTCAATGTGGAAAAATAATTAGAAAGGATAAAATGGATAATTAATATTTTTAAATATATCGCTGTAACAACTATAATATAGTATTATATGTTTTTATTCATTGTATTCGTTACATTATCAGTATAATTTTACTTATAATTAATTATACATGCGATAAGAGAATTGTACACGTAAATCCTTTAAAAATATGAAATTGATGGATATTTGTAATGATGTAAGGTCGTGTTTTGAAAATATGGCTTAAGAGGGTAAATAAATAAAAATTGCTGAATAGACAGTATTTTATAATTTATAATATTTTTTACATTTAATTTGGATTCTAATTATACTTTTATTAAAAATCATATTTAAATCATTAATGCTTTCTCCAATTTAGACAATGCACATCTTTTCGTTAATTCCTCCCTCATATGTACATAGAAAATTATACCAAAATATGTAAAATATATTTCAATAAAAAATTTTTAATTTTAACGTAATATTCAAATATGATAGAATTTGATAGATGAAAGATATCATTTTTGTTCTTTTACGTTACAAAACTATTATGCAATATTGTGCTATAATTTAAGATTTACATTTTATTCAGTTATTTAGGATTTTTATTTAAAGCTTTTTAATTAAATTTTATATTTATTATAATAGATATTAATATCTTCTATTCGGTATATCACTATATATATCCATTAGGATCCGAGAACTTTTTATTAAAAAATGTTGTCTCCTTTCTTGAATTAAATATTTTATTTTAAAATAACTACATATATTTTATATATTACTATTATTATTTATGTAAAACGTATATTCATTTTTAACTAATAAAATAAGAATAAATTACAGTTTAATAATTGCTTATGTAATGGTTTTTTTTTTTAAATTACCATAATGGCTTTTGCAAAACTATTTTATCTATACTATGGGACTTTTAAATTCCATTAATACATTTCAAGTCTGGCACAACAGTGTTTTAACATTCTAACATATTAAAAACTGATAATGAAAAAGAATAAAAAAAAATTTTATGGAAAATATTTTTTAAACTATATTTGCAAAGTTGATAATAAAATGAAGATGCAGCATCTATAAAATATAAATAAGTAGAACTACAGTTAATTATCATATTTAAATTTCATTCTATAAATATTAATGTATTCGATAAAATTTGAAACATATTTGAGAAAAATTATATTTTTGAAAATTTTCTTATATTAAATGTTATAATTTAATATTTTATTCAATGGTTGAGCCGTAAAATGTTATTAATTTTTTTTTTTTTTAATTCTTACAATTATTAATTTTATTCCAAATTCTCGTTATGTAAAATTCTAACTGCTATTCCCGTGGTAATAGAATTTGATTATATTTCAATTTGGTTAAACACTAATTTAAATTATTCTTTAATTATTACTTCACACAACTGTACGATTATTAAGAAATAAATAGCCCATTAATTGTAATTTTGAATAGTAAAATTTTTATCACAGAATTATCTAAACGTAATAAATTTAATATTTGTATGATTGATAAACTCCAACATTTTAAATATAATATTATATTCAAATGTATTATTATACATTTGAAAAATATCATATCATTAGAATTATGAGAATTGTATATTCTAATTGGATATCATGACGCCCATATAAATATTTTCATTTTTATTTTGATGATGCGATTTATTTATTGTATTTATATACGGCATGTGCTTATATTAATTAACATTAAAAAATAAATGTACATATTTTTAAATTTATTTACTTTTTAAATGGATTATAAATAATAGTGCAGTAACCAAATAACAAAGCGTCTTTATTACAAGTTTATTGTACATAAAATGTAAATATATATATATAGAATACATGTCATTTATAAAAATATTTTTGTATATATTTATGACTGTAAATAATGATAAATTATTACTTAATCGTATAATCATTATGTACTTGATAAGTAGTCATGTAAAGTTTATATCACATTATTAAAAATTTTGTATAAAAAATAAATAAATTGATAGCAATAGTTTTAAATGAAATAATCCATTGTAGTTCTTTTAGTTTTTATTGCAAGAAATATTATTATACAGATTCGAATTAAATATATATAATAAAAATTTGCGAGTTTGTACCCTCTATACTTTTGTAGTACTAATAGTCAGGTCACGTGAGTATCTTCATGAAAATAAATTACAAATGATCGTGTCAAGATAATAAGGTTTCATTAGAAAAATAAGTCGTACTAGTTCGGAGCTAACTAACGTTACAAATAACTATTCAAACGATATAATATAAATAAAAATTCGGTATTCAGAATTAGATAGAACTGCAATGGAAGCTTTGCAATCGCAGAACATATAAAATCTTTTAACTTTACATTTAGCTTTGGAATGTAAACGATATGATAAAAATAAATAAATAAATAAATAAATAAATAAATAAATGCGTAATTGAGTACAAATATATGTGCAAGGAGAACTGCTTCTGATTCAATTCTTGATAAGAACGACAGTTGACTAAGCCAGTTCAATGACAACAAGAACACACGTACCGACGCATCTCTCACCATTCCCTCTTCATTCAGTCGAATGATCAAGTAATAGGAATAGCGTCAAGAGCTCGTTGCCAGCCACCCCCATAACCACTTCCACCATGGTGTTCCGAAGCAGTGGCATAGATCACCTCGTGGCCACCTCCGCCGCTGGATACCAGCTTCTTCAGTCCAATAATCGCGCTAAGCACCAGTGCGATTTTAGCCGTAAGTAGTGCCGTACCAGCTAGGAATGCAATTTTACCAAACGCCAACTGTGCTAGCATACCTACATAAAGAAAGAAATGTTTAACGGCGAGCGTAATGTTTTGTGCGTGTAGGAATATTTTCACATAATTAAATCGGTTATTTTAAACGTGTTATTTTGCGTTAATTTGTTTATGCTTAATGTGAGAACGCTGGAAACGAGGTTGCATAAACTAATTGTGCTCTACACGCTTATTTGAGTAAAATGTAAAATCACAACAGTTACGTGAATATGCAGATGTGTTGATTTACTGCATTGGTAAAGTACTAGTTAAACAGTATACTACGGTTAACTTTGTTGAGTATTATCCGATACAACTAGTCCACGCCATTATATTATAGTCATTAGATTTAAGTCATTTTGTAAACTTTTGTGGAACAATACAGTTATTCTTAATCATTGAAATGTAATGTTTTCTAAGTGCATTAAAATAAATACTTTGAAAATTTACTGACAACATTGAAAGTGCATTTTTTAAATATAAATTGAAAGCAAAAAAAATCATGACGACCTACATAGATGAACTTTGTATTATTTAATTGAATTATCCGTAATATAAATCTGTATTAGAATTAAAGTGTTTCTCATTTCGCCTCTACTTATGCTTTAAACTACCCTGGATATTTAATATTAATATTGAAATGTACAATCTTAAAAATAATATAATGGCAAAATGAAATTTCATAATAACTATTACACATTAATAGCTATTTGATTAGATTCAAAATACTGTACTAACACTTTTGAAATAAATTTTTTAAATTTTCGACGCAAAATTATATATGCACTATTTTTGTGAAAAAATTGTAATTATTAATAATTCATAATCCCATAATAAATAATAAATTATAAATAAGTAAATACATGTTCTTATGTTTATAATTCAAACTACTTTAAATTCATTTGACATTTAGATTTTATTAATTTATCAAATATTAAAGTAAAAAAAGAAATTATAATGTATAAACTCTTATACATTATTTATAATTACTTTTAACTAAATTAATTCGTAATAATTCAATAAGCAAATTTCTATAAGGTTAATACATTAGTAATAATTACGATTCTATAATTTATATTTATATAAAGATATAATAACTTTTCTTCATATTCATTAATACGTTTAATACAAGCATAACTTTACAACAAAGAAACTATAAAGTTTCATCAATAAATTTACATACTCATTTAATTCTTTACTATTTATTAATAATTATATTATTGATATTATTGATAATGATGTACTGTTACCTATAACAAAATATATAATAAACGTCATATACTCAATGTCGAGAAATAAATTATTTTAACATTTTAATATTTCGAAAGCTTCATCTTAAAGTAACATTTTGAATATGTTGTAGTACATGTTACTTCTGTTTATGGTTTTCTACACATACTTGTTTAAATTCTAACTAATACTTCAATAATAATATTAAAGCTTATTATTCAATTTCTGATATTTTTAAATGTTTCATATAAAAAATTATTGTTTTTCTAATATTTAAAATTCGAAAACTTACCTGCCATAGCTAATCCTCCCATCATGATGGCTCCCATTCCTCCTTTCTTATCTTTCTTTCCTCTTCCTAAAATGACAATTAAATAAGTATTTCAGAATTTAAAAAAAAAAAGTATCAATATATCTTATAACCTCTTTGTAAATATGAGGTATAATAATAATAAATATTAATTCAATGTTTACATATCTAATAATATATTCATCTGTATATTTAATATTTTTTATGTGTTAGATTTGATAATTTGACATTCAACAATATATAATATTTGTCTACGCTTACACGCAGCAACATACCTGTTTATTAACATCATTAAATTTTTAATTTAGCCACGCATTTATTACTACTTATCATTATAAGTAAATTATTTTCATCTCTAAATATGTTACATTTCATAATAATCATAATAACATAAGTTTACTTAATATTGCCTTTCAGATCTTTTTTTTATAACAACTCTTGCTTAGCCAATTTTATATTAAAATGATTTTAAACATTAAATTAAAAAATTTATTCTCTACTCTAAAATAAAATAATCATATAAAGTACCTTCAAAAGCGTCTCCAGGTATCGTGAGTTTTAAGCTTCGCGAACTCAAGTATTCGTGAAACTTCATGTCCAACTGATCATCCAAACTCCTTTGCGTTACATTATCGGATTTTCGTAATTCAAAATTCCTTGCAACATTGTTATCCCTACCAATTGATATAAAATCGTTTAGCACATAGACAGACTCATCCTTGATTGCATTATCCAGAATTTCAAGGGCTCTTTTCTTCAAACACTCGAAAGCGTTCGACTCCTTGGTACATTTGCCGAAAAGCTTCCCATATCCATCGGTTATACGAGACTCTGATAACCCCAAACTAAGCCCCAAAATGCCAATAAGCCAAAATCGCCTCATTATCCTTGAATGTCAATATTTCACACAACGATATAGAGTTAAACGATGAAGGACTAACGAAATTTGCTACAGTTCACGCTTCGTCCATTCGTTCTGTGCGCGTCTGCACCCGCTGACCAATAAAACCATGTCTCAAGGAAACGAGTCTTATATACTTGCCGACTACGCTGCGGAAGGCTGAATTCACAGTTGGCATACACGCGCTGTTTAACGCCTTATGCCTCCTTTTCCCCCGGAGAGACGCCCTCAACCAAAACAATTCTCGCTCGTCCCGCGAGAAGTCTGGGAGTCGAGTATCCTGATGACCCCCTTGCCAAATGAGCCTCGAATGCTCCTGTGCATTCCGGAAAGAGGAGGAGGAAATGCATACGGTTTTGCAAAGTCTGCATGAGAATTTACATGGCGAAAATCGTGAAGGCGACGATGTATTGTCACTACCGAAACCTTCAAACTGTACATCTTTATAGCGTTTTATTTTCTAGGAAATCATCAAAGCTTTTCGCTTTTCTTGAAAAGATGTAGGGCTTGAGGTTTAACTTCTAATATTCATTTTTCAAATTGGAGACACTTTAATAGCTTTAAATAGTAAGAGCACCAACAAATCGGATATTTTAAAAATTAATAACGGTATTTAATAAATCAACCTTTTATTGCTCGTATAATAGTAAATAAAATGAGAAAGTTTCTGTTCCTGCGAACAATATAAAGTAATCAAGAATAATGATCCAAACTCACAAACATGAAGTTTGTTATTTCCCATAAAAATTAATCGAATTATTATAATGGTTATAAAAAAATTATTGTTTCCGTTTAATTTATTTTTATTTAGCTTTAATATAAGATACTATTATGTTCTAAATAATGAAATTATTATTACAGTAGAAATTCATTTAGTGTAATTTCTTCGGGAAAATGGACGGGATAACCATCTATTATTGCAAATTCTATTTTTTTTTATTTAGTTATTAAGTATATTTTATACGATTATTATTTATATCATTTTATGTTATGCATTGAATATTATTTATATACGTTATTGAAATTGTTATAATATTTGAAAATATAAAACAAGTCAATGAAAATATTTATGTATCGATAAAATCAGCAAGAAAAGTATTATGCTTTCAAATATGCATATTCAATTAATCTAAATAAATATTAGCAAACAAGTGACAAATATTAAAAATGAATAATATGATTTTTAGATATAAAATTTGATGAAATTCAAGAAAAAATACATTAATAATTCAATACTCATTAAAGATCTGAAAAATTAATTTTTGACGATGATCCTTCTTATCTGTTTGTTTTAATCAATATACAAAAAATTTACAATTGCAATTGTTTCGATAAAACATCTAAGTTTTGTCAAATTTAATTAAAAAATGGATTATAAATTATTAGAACAATTTTTTAATTTTATATTATATTATTATTAATGAAAAATCGGAATATATCAATAATTATTAAAAAAAAAAAAAAAAAAAAAAGAAAAAAAAAATCGAATTAAATCTTTGTCTGAAATTTAGATGCATGAAATAGATCATGAAAATCAGATCACTTTACAATATGAAAACATTATTAGTATTTTAATCGAGCTTATTAAAATTATAATTCATAAATAGATGAAAGATCTTTCTACTATAAAATACGACTACTACACATTCGACTTACATTCTTGAAAACTTTATGATCTTGTTTATATAATATTATCATTCAGGTTCTATCACTAGATATACATTAATTTTCATGAAAACTATATATACATAAATTTAATGACATACATTACAAGAGTAAATTAAAAATATTTTTCTATAAAATTATCAACAAAAAAAAATTAACAATTATTATTCTATAATATTAATTCTATTAAAAATATTCTATTATATATATATATATATATATATATATATATATATGTATATATATATAATAAATGCTGTTAAAAATAATTTAGTGTTTTATTAACTAGATTTTAATTAATAAATACAGTAATTTTTTTGGTAAAATAATAATTCAGTTAACTAGTGATAGAATTTGAAACAATTTCAGTAATGCACTAGTTAAGCATAGCGTGATATAGAGAAAAATATTTGAAATATTATTTTTATGTATATTTAAGAAAGGTCCAGATAATTTTTTTAGTTATCCACTTTTACCTCCATTAAAATTACATCAATTAGTATTTATTGATCTATATTACTAAATATAATGTATGTATTCAAAGAACTTGTTAATTACTATTTTTCTTCTTATTTTCATACAACGTTCAATTAATGTATTACAATGTATGATTTTCGCATCAACAAGAAAACATTTTAATCCATGAAAATATTTCTTTCGTCCTTAGTAGTAATCGCAGTGTAATTACCAATTAAACTAAACGGTTAAATATTAAAATTTAAAAATTTATTAGTAATTTATGTTACATAATCAATATTTCCAATAATGTTAAGTAATATAAATTAAAACTTATATGTTTTTAGTAAGTAATAGAAACCTTTATCAGTTAATTAAATTGAATATATAAATTGAAAGAATAATTTTCATTTGTATATTTATTTATATCTTCTTTAAATTATAAATATAATGGAAATGAATTTGATAATTTTATGAGATAAAACTCTTCATTTCATGAGAGTAGGAAACAAAATTTATATTTCGTGTTACAATCTATATTCATTTTGAGAATGCAAGCGATACTGATATAAAATACATTAATAATATCGTGATTCATAAAAAAAAAACTATTCTGAATTTATATATATTGTAAAACAAACAAAATATTTATCAAAATATAATTATCATTAACACATTTAATAGTGTTATTTAAAGAAAATGGTATAATGATAAGCATTGAAAAAATCCTATTTTTTTACCTAGTATTTCGAATTTTAATACAATACTAATATTTTATATCTTATTATATATTATTTTATAATAAAATATCAAAATTTAAGAAAATTTTATCGGATAAATATTTGTCGAGATAATATCAAATAGAATATCCGTTCGCTCTACACTATTTGAAGTCCTATTTATTTCTACTACATCAAAGCTTTGATTATATGTTTTATTATGTTTTACACTGGTGATCGTTTGGTCATCATAAAGAATTACTCCAGAGTTAAATTTTGTACTTTAAAGTAAAATATTATCTCTATGTGTCTGCTATAATTCACTCTAACAAATTTTGCTTTAAATTGGACAATCTTCAGTGTTTAAGTATTATCTGTAAGTTAAAAATACTATACATATTCATATTCTATACATATTCTACATATTTCCATCAATCTAATTGATCCTATCCCACGGGTTAACGTTTAAACGATTACTTTATTCTAGCTGTGATTTGGAATCGACTCCAAGTGCACTTGACTCACAAAGGTATGCTGCTATAATTTTGTATTCATGTCGATTTTTATTCTACTGACTTTTGAATTATATTATTTTCAGGCAAAGTAGATGAAATTTTGTTTAATATTTATTTTAAATATCGTCCATGTTTTGTTCTTATTCTATAATTTCGGAACTAATATTTACATTTAAGTCCAAATAGAATTTATCATATTATGAAAAAAAGATTTTTAAAATTTGTATCCCAAACATATATAGTATTGTTAGAACTTTGCAGAAATACTTGTAATTTCATCCTCCCGCTTCGTCTTTATAAGATATATGATTATTTATTTAAATTTAAATAAAACTTATAAAATGACAGTATTTATCTATTATTACAATTATTTATAAAATTATTAAAATAATTTAAAGTTCTGTTAGCGTAAAACATTAACTCATAATTATTCTATATCTTTATCTGCAAACATCTATTAAAAATTTATAAAAATTCTGAAAATAACAAACGATTATAATTTTTATAATTTTTAAAATTTGTTTATAATTTACTATTTTATTTAATATTTTTTTAATTATTAAATTTATTTGACATACTATTTAATATTAATTGTATAATTTTATTTAAAAATTTCACAGTATTTAATGTAATACTATAATATAATATAATGTAATGTAATATAGAATAAAAACAATAGAATATTTAAAATATGCAAAGAAGTAGCCCATTAAAAGTATTTTTTATCTTCTTGTCGATTATAAATTTTTCACTCGAGTTATTCATATATACCTTGCAAAATATGATATAAAACGCAAAAATAAAAAGTTGATACTCGGATGCTTATTCTTAATTAAAAACCAGACGTAACTGTTGTAATAATTTAAAAGAATAAAAAGAATTTAAAAAATAGTCAACCTGCTCTCTAGTGATCATTCTTTCTAACCACGTGCTGGTGATCTAGCATCCATGAAAACTAGGTCTGCGGTCTGCAGCCGTGCATAGCTCTGAAATTCCTTGCAAATATCCCCTAGCATATGGACGTCATCGAGACTCCACTTTTATAATAGAATATATTTCTATTTGGCGCGAAAACTATTCTCCCTTCGACTCCTCCTTTTAGTGCATTCGTGAATTAGTGCATTTATAATTAATTATTGTTTTTACACGAATTTTGATTCATACATGCAATAGTAAAATGCAATACCATTCCAAATAGGCAATCGTAGATAATTAATAAAATGATAACGGTAATAAGAATAAACGATCGGCTTAATCGAACCGACAGAAGCGAAAAAGATGATCTGCAATTTCAACTCTGTAATATGCAGATAGAGTAACTGTAATAATAAATAATAATTTCGTTACCGGGGATGAGAATTTTCAATAATACGATCCAAAATTTATTATCAACAAAATTGAACTATTCTATAAATATTTTAATAGAAAATTTACAATTAATTTAATCTTCTCTTAATATAAAACACTTATACGAAATGTAAAAGCAAATTCAGAAAAATGATAAGTACTACTAAGTAAGGATTAGAATTCTAATAAAAAATTTAAAACAATAGATAGCATTATTAAATGTAATGTCGTAAACTTTTGCCAAAAATAATATAATTGACATAGTGACAATAAATTATATCACAAACAAAATGAGCAAATATTGTAATATAATATATTAAACTGTTAATTATATTATATTAATTATATTATATTATATATTATATTAAATGAAAAGATATAAAAGAATAAAAAGAAATAATACATCAAATA